AACACACCTTAAACATTTGGACCTCGCATTCGAAAGACTCAAAAAACATGGCATCACAGTTAACTTACAGAAGTGTGAAATAGGAGTTGAATCACTCAGCTTCCTTGGGCATACCATTGACAACAAAGGTATACGCCCATTGAGAGATAAAGTGGCGGCTATCACAAACTATCCAGAGCCGACCACTGTGAAACATCTCCGCACTTTCAATGGCCTGGTAAGTTATTACCGAAGGTTTATCCCTAACTGTGCCTCTGTCATGAGACCACTCACAGATCTACTTCGAGGAACTGCGAAGTTCGTGTCTCTGGACAACGCGGCTAGACTTGCTTTCTCCAAAGTCAAGGAAGCCATTTCGAACGCAACCATGCTTATGCATCATGACCCCAATGCTCCTCTGAGTATTGCTGTTGATGCATCTGATTCAGCAATTGGAGCAGTTTTGCAACAGTTGACTGACAACCAGTGGCAACCGTTAGCCTTTTTCTCGAGGCGGCTGCAAGACGCGGAAACAAGATACAGTACATTTGGTAGGGAACTCCTAGCCATGTACTGTTCTGTACGCCATTTTCGACATTCTGTGGAAGGTCGTGATTTCATTATTTTCACAGACCACAAACCGTTAACGTTTTCCCTCAGCTCGGCGTCTGACAAATACTCCCCTCGTGAGTCGCGACAGCTGGATTACATTTCCCAGTTCACGTCAGACATCCGCCACATTTCTGGAGCAAACAACTCCGCAGCCGACGCACTATCTCGAATAGCTTCGATAAACTATATCGAGGGTATTGATCTCGTTGAACTAGCTCGGCGTCAAAAGGAAGACCTTGAGCTGCATCATGAGTTGTCGTCCACAACTCTCAAACTGCGACTTTGTCCTGTTGGATCAGACAAGGATGCAATTTTGTGCGATGTCTCTGCTAGTCAACCACGCCCAATAGTTCCGAAGAGTTGTCGACGCAACGTCTTCAATACGTTGCACAAACTCTCTCATCCAGGTGTACGAGCCACCATTAGGCTTATCGCACAACGTTTCTGCTGGCCTGGGATGAACAAAGACGTTAAGGAGTGGGCCCAGTCGTGCTTAGCTTGTCAAAAGTGTAAAGTCACGCGACACACGAAAAGCCCTTTAGGCTCATTTCTAGCCCCAGACATGCGTTTCGACCACGTCCATATAGATATTGTAGGACCCCTACCAGAATCTAATGGATGTACCTACCTTTTCACCTGTGTTGATCGTTTCACACGATGGCCGGAAGCAGTACCCATTAAAGATATTACTGCCGAAACAGTTGCTCGTGTTTTCGTCGAAAGATGGATCGCGAACTTCGGATGTCCATCCTACGTCACAACCGACCGTGGGCGCCAATTTGAGTGCGGACTATTTCACGCTCTAACGGCACTTTTAGGTTGCACTCGGTTCCGAACGACAGCCTACCATCCACAAGCAAATGGCATGGTAGAGCGTTTCCATCGACAGCTGAAAGCTTCCCTTTCAGCTACAAACATACCTCAGTGGACCGAGGCTCTGCCTCTAGTCCTACTAGGTATTCGTAACGCGTTGAAAGTTGATGCTGGATGCACTCCTGCAGAACTCGTCTATGGGACCACTCTTCGCCTACCAGGTGAGTTTGTTTCCCCTTCAACTTTCAAACATGTTTCCGATAGGGCATCTTATGTGACTAGGCTTACAAACGCAATGCGTTCAGTTAGGCCTTCTCCGATTAGACCGCAAACGACTGATGTTTTCGTCCACCCCAGTTTACAGAAGACATCACACGTGTTTGTTCGCCACGACGCTGTTCGTCGACCACTTGAACCACCCTACGACGGGCCGTTCAAAGTGATTAAGCGACATGAGAAATTCTATGTAATTGAGCGAGGCGGACGCGAAGATACTGTCAGTATCGACCGTTTGAAACCAGCTTATTTCGAAGGCAACCCCATTGTAAGTGACGTTTCAGCTCGCTACATCCGGCCGACGGATGACTCAATTATCGAAATTCTCGACGATGTGCCTGGTAATGCACAGCTGCAACAACCAGCGGCGCAACAAAAAACACGATCAGGTCGAACCGTCAGGTTCCCAGAGTACCTGAAGTCATATTCAACTTAGCTATGTGTGTGCCAACCATTTTTTTTCGAGGCACTATTTTTCTTATTTACCGGCACAAACCCTCGTACACTTTGCCTTTTTATATCAATTTTTATTTACCATGTAATAAAAACTAAAAAAACGGCGAAGATAAGCGTAAATTTTTCTTTTTCGACACGTTTATATATAAATAATTCCCATTTTTACGCAACGTTTTCGTGGTATTAAAGACTTTTATTTATATTCCAGGTGCAACGAGCACTGGACGGAACGTCGAAAGGAACAGATGACCGCGACCGACGTACAATTTCATTTATTGTATTTTATTTATTTAATCGCCACGACACCCTAGAATAAGGTTCAGACAACCAGGGGCCACCTCACGCAGTGAGCCCATCGGAGAGTTTTACCAGTGGAGAAACCACTGGGTTTTTACTTCCGGCTGGTATCGTCTTAGGGTCCTCACGAACCCACTAGGGGGGGAGTGATCTGTAGCGTCATACACTTCCCCAAAATCAATAGCCTAGGGTTTGACGACTTCGACATTGATGCTGACCTTGATAGTTTAACTGGACTCGCTAAGCTGAAGGCATCCGGTCAAGCATCCTCGCCATTTGGCACGCTGTCGTGTTACGTTGCATTGCTCGTATTCGACTCTCTAGCCAGTTAGTTGGAACGCATCGGTATTTTGGCATAACCATCCAAATATACTATTCCATCCGACTACGCTATCGTGTTCTTCCTTGGTCTCGTATTCGTGGGTATATAACAAGTTCGAATAATTAGTGATTGGTCTTTGCGTCTGTCAAGTTCGCATCAGAACAAATCCTAAAGGTGAATGGAAGGTAGCCTTATCGCCCCGACAGCAATCCTGAAGACTCTGATCACCCAGTGGATACGTTTGCGGTCCTTTTTCCTTTGAGTTGGGGAGAATACATACATAGCGGACTAGCATTCGATCCGGATAAATGGCGGGCAGTATTCCTCTGCAACGGCAACTCGCAGAAAGTATCCTATTCTGTCTGAAGGACTAAGCTTTCTCACACGGCCAGAAAGAGGGATCTGGGAACAATATAAACGGACAGGCCGGAAACTGGTCTCAATTATTCGGGAGATGCCCTCGGAGCTCTCACCTTAAAACCCTTTGTGAGGCTTTACCAGACAAATGTTCCACCTCAATTAAAGGTTTATGACGTTATTACGCCACTATGCACAAAGAGGGACGCAAGCCTACCATAAAAATTCCAGAGACGAAATAGAAAAGGTGTTTGTTGGATGCAGTAATGTGCATACGCGGCTGGGCTAAAGGGTCTGGGTCCTGATCTCTAGGTTACCTCTGGCGCCTTGGTGACTTGACAGCAGCCTACAAGATACAGAGTGATCTGATCCACCCAGACAATGAAATTATCCCGAAACGGTCTGACGTTCAACGTCACCAGTGAGGGTAAGGAAAAATTGTGGTTTTCGAGCCCTCGCTTCCAGGTTCCTGGGTTCAGTCCCTTTTGTTTGGCTTAACTCCTAAGGTAATCGCGGAAGTCTATGTTTTTTCCATTTATAGCTTTTGAGGTGGTGACTGTCCATTTGAAGGTATTTTTTCTTGGAAATCGTAGCATGGTTTGTTCAGTGGAGCGATGGGGTTGCTGATAAGGTCGATCAACCTTCTGCAATTTCCGTTGTCGTGATCACCTGCAGGGGAGTATAAAGCGTTATTTAGAAAGCAGGGCTGGAAATAGGGCGACGGGGAAATGAGAAAAGTGCTGAAAAGTAGTTCCCTTGGCAGCTTGAACAGAATTACTGATCAAAGGTTGAAAACTCCTGTGCATTCATGCTTTTCTCTTTTTCCAGTTTTCGGCCACTGGCACTCATCACCTCCTCAGACTACCATGGATATATCTGCCGAAATTGCGGTAACATAAAACGACAGACATTGGCAGGCACCTATTCCCTAAGAGTTGTTAAACCCTGGAATATACCTCCTGTAGACACGGCCCAGGCGGCTTTTTCCGAATCCTCTAAAGCTAGCCTAATACTTGTTGTAGATGTAGGAGAGACCCGCTCAGAACTAGTTGAATTTTCACATTTTAATCACTACTTTCTGCCCCCACTTTTCTCATACATAGATTACAAACAACTAGATGTATTGGTGCACGGGTTCTAGACGCAAAAATCATTATGGCGAAAGCTCCTTCATTTTCATTGACAACCATTTGGACAGCTTCATGACAAGTTTGGACAGTCACGAAGAGAACCGGCTAACGGTCATCCGGCTGGGACGCTACTTGGGTGAAAGCAGCCGGATGATTCCGCAGCACTACAATATATCAACCCACATACCGACACCCTTATAATGTCTCTGTTATCACGAACTCGACTGAGCTGCATACTTCCCTACCAGTCGTCTTAAGACTTCCGACACCATACCGATATTAATATTATGACTGTTCCTAACATCATCATCCCTACCATAATCTTCCCTGCCCTTTTTCGTCCCCTGATTCTGCATGACTTCACCTTACTTACTGAAGCTTCCTATATTACCTGAAGTCACCTAGATTTCTCCATTAATGTTGATTTTCTTTTTTCTTTTCTTTCCCCGCATTTCCTCTGCTTTGTTTTCTGTGGTTATCTTTCCATTCTCCTTATCTTCCTCTTAAGACCAGTTCAAAAACTTTCCAGTGATTCGAAATCTGAGGGATCCATCTTCACCATAGTCCCAGGACAAATCATACACCTTCCTACAAACTTAATCAAAACACAATCACCCGTCGGGTTTCCCAGAGCTACAGTAGGCGAGTAGATAGATCTACTGCATCAAAATCCACTAAGGACCTAGATTAGTTTTGTAAGACCTAGAACTCAGTTCAGATAAATAGATTTCTTGATACAAGCTCATTTAACAGTCCCTTGTTATTTGATGTTGTTTCTGAAGGTCGTTCATGGACTGAGATACAACTGCTTTTTGATATTTGTACATGTTTTCACACTACTAACTCAGTTATATCTCTGAAACTTTGAAAATCACTACCATTTACACTTTAAGGGAAGGTTAAAAAGGATAAACTTTTAATAGCACATTGTCAGGTGGTAAAAAAGTTTGAAGGATCCGATATATATTTTTGTAAGGCAATATTCATGAAGTTTCCAATGATTCACTTTGCCTCAGTATAGTTTTCAATGTAATCAGGAAAAACTCACTTCTTAGAAGAACGACAATTCTGTTCTATCGATTTCACAAAAATAGTTTATTTCTCTAGTATTTCTAATCCCTAACGGATGAGACTTATGAAAATACACACATATGTAGACAATATGTATATATTCTGTAAACTCCTGACATATAAACTAAAGTGTCCACATTCTTGGTTCATTACAAACTAATATTACGCTACGGATAAGTAATTCAGAAAAAACTGATTAGCTCTTACCATTCAGCGACATCTACTTGTCTTCAAACCTACAATCTGATGTAGCAGTCTTGGTGTGATACGGATGAATGACCATTCACAGCTAGAAAATAGCTTGAAAGTCTTCTTACAACAGCTGAGGACGTTCAGTGTGTCTTTGCCAAATGACAGTAGTTACGCTGAGCTGAGAGACTCTGTCAACTATACTATTCTACAATCCAAAAAATGTTTGAAATTCGTAAGCTTCCCAGATTCTTTCCGTTAATTCTTTGTGTTTTAGAATAGTAGCAGTTTTTTAAAGTACAGACGAGACACTCCCACACCCTGTTCAGATATAGATATTCCATCTCTTCCAAAAGGTTTGCATTTCATTCTTAACGATAGCATGTCTTACAGACGTCTGTGCCTTATCACTACCTGAAAACCATTTCATTGTTGGTCTTTTATCGGATGAACATAGTTGTAAAACTATTCACGAACTTGAAGGTAATGTGTAATGTATTTTTTGTATTATACTTGATTAAATTTCAAAACTGAAGCTTCGTATTTTAGAAGTAGTGAACGATGATTCCTACGGTTCTACATCTATCTTATTTGAATACGTTCTTGGTTTGGGATGGTCATAGTTGTCTTTTCGGTTCCGAAGAACCTGAAAAGATGGAGATAATCGATCACTGACTAATTTCATCTCCATAAGCATTGTTTCTCCTCCTGATCTGTAGATGATAGAAAGCTTCTCTAGTATAACCAATCAGTACTACAAAGCTCTAAATGTGCTTCTAACGTCCTTCGGAAAGTATCAGATGAGGAAGATGCAACAACCTCTAAAGAAATGGAGCGCCACAGTTTACATATCCTAACTGCAAGCAAGCTAGCAGGGATCTTTGTACTTACTCTCTCATGAGTTTCTGACTAAAGCAGAAAACTAATCCGTTAGGATGAAGGGGACTATAAGCAGTGTGATACGTCTTGATCATATCACCTCTCATCTTCCGGTATTGTGCCGGTCGCGGCTTAGAAGGCAGTGGCCAGCCCAGGTGAGGTTTGTACCGTAGCCTGATAACTTTTTCGTAGCCCTTCCTTGAACGGCATCTAAGATGAAAATGTTCTTCTTCATGTCTGGAGACATCAAGAGTGAGGTTTCTCAGGATGAGGACGAACATAAAGTTCATACACTTTGGTGAAAAGGGCCGTGGTTAGGCTACCTAAAGTTCGCGAATGCAACTCCAGGACTCCATAGACTTTGTTGGGTGCAAGGTGACAATGGACGGAAGCTCCAAGTGTGCCAGTTAAAGTAACTCCCAGATCTTTTTCGATGTTTGGGTGACAGATATTTATTTCGCCCAACGGATAAGATCCAGGGCTATTCCCATATTTGCCAACAACAATTATCCCACACTCCTCTGTGTTGAGAAGGAGCAGGTTTTCTTTAGTTCAATCAAGGATTTTGTAAAGATCTTCCTGGAGGACCGAAATATCTGTTGGCTCCTGTTTTTCTCTCCGAATCTTCAGATCATCGGCACATAATAGTGAATGAGAACTGAGGAGTCCTGGTGGGTCATTAATGAAGACAAGAAGCAGTAGTAGACCAAGACCGTGAGGCACACCACTCAGCATCGAGAACCATTTAGATGATGAGAAGCCAAATCTAACTGACTGAAACCTAGTGTAAAGAAAACCTCTAGGTCGACTTAGTAACTTTCAGTGTACACCCATAAGCTGGCAATTCTAACACAGGACATCATGATTTATCCCGTCAACCTCGTTAGAAATGTTTATTAAACCAAGATGAATGGACACTTTTGCTCATTAGAGGAAGTCTAGCCGTCCCAACCAATGAGCAATTTGGTGTCGCGTGACATCTCGGGTGGGGACCCATGTTTACAGCCATTTAAGATCAAATTCTCATGCAAGTAATCACGAAGTGAGTCGGTTACTCTCTTTTCGTAACCTTCGCAAATGAAGGGATCAGGGAGATTCGTCTATGGTTAGAGACAGTTGGTTTGCTACCACATTTATAAACTGCGATGGCAGCTACCCGTTTCCAGCCAAAGGGAAACCTGCCCTCCAGGAACGAATATCTAAGAAAGTTCGCTATTTGGTCACTCAGAACACTCACACAATATTTTAGTACTCTTGAGTAAATGCCATCAGTTCCTGAAAACTTATTCGGAATCAGGTTTCTTAATATTACCTTAATTATAGAAGGTTCAAACTCCATATGACCTAACTCCTATGTGAGATAGGTGTCTGACAGATATGTGGTTGTCTCTGCAATTGACAAAAGTTGTTTTTGAATTTCTTGGTTGTTAAGTTTGCTACCTCAGAGTTGGTATGGAAGATCTTTGAACTACTAAGGTCATGTATACCAAGTAAATTGTTACTCTTGTATTTCATCAGTGAGCACAACACCTCACGATTTTACTCCAGAGTTATAAACACATGTGCATAGCAATTTACCATATCATTGTGAAGATTTTTACTGATAAGGAACCAGAACCAAAATTAACTAAGTCCAACAATCTGTGTGACTGAGAATGGGCACAGGATTTTTTAATCTGGGACAAGGTCGATAAAGCCTCTTGTTAATCGTTCAAGCATTTGATTGTTAGACGTCAGTCGGTCAAGGTCAAGTTCTTCTTTTTCCTCTGTCTGTATTTCTTCACTGAATTTTCACTCGCTTATCTTAATATCTTTTACAAAGGTAGTCAATTTATTATACTATGACTATACACTTGTTCTGACAATTTCTGGGGAATCAAGGGTTGCTCTAAGCAAAGTGGTAATGTGAATGGTTTAGAGATGAAGAGGCCTCGTAAGGTGGTTAACGTTTTAGACCATCATATCAACTTGGAGTTTTTTTAACCAGATATGTCCACTAATTTACGTCATGGGCAAGTTCATTAGTCTCAATGCCCACACATTTGGAAATCCCATGTGTGATGAGCAGACATAATAGATTTTGGGAGTGAAGTTTTCTGCAATTCCACGGAGGTTCCTGAACTGACCAGGGTTTACCAGGCCTGATCGTAACGTCCTACGGTTTGTGATTTACTAGCTGATGATCTTCCAAAAAGATGTGTTGGGATTTGCGAGTACTATCTAGACAGACTCTCAACGGTCCAGGAAAGTCTTTAGGGGAGAACTAGTTGCTAGACAAGCGTTTGAGAAATGGGCTACAGGGCAGGGTTTCTAAGCGTTTACAAGCATCCTTCTACTGAGCAATATAATGCTCTTCAGGATAACTTAATAAGAAACCACTACTCTTTTTAACGGTAAAGAGTATGAGCGACCTAAGATCTGGGGTGTAATTTAGCTTTTTGGATGCATTGCTCTCTGTGAATGCAGGCCAATTTCTGCTCAGCTTTTTTAGTACTCACCCGCAGGACTTGAGTTGCCAGTTTCGGAAATTACTTTTAGGATTTGCCCGAGCTAGTGAGGAGATGTAGGTAGCTTTGACCATGCCTTAAGGGTGGTGAGACCGAGATCTATTTGCCTCAGGTCGCTTTATTCTCGAGTGGGAGGAGAATTGGTCAAATTATGATTTGGCTTGCCGTTGGGCTGAGCAGGATAAGCTACTCTTCCAGGGTTGCTGCCGTTTCCTAATGTATCACTTTTAATCACTTCGACCTGCTTACATTTCTTCGAACCTTTCATTCTGCACTTATAGAGTGTGAGATTCACATGCATCACTGTTGGGGTCTGTTCTAAAGGTATGCTAACAGGGAAGCAGTTTTTGAGGGTGGTTTTATTTTCCTGCCTTCATTTACGCTAGTACTGTTGCTACTTGTTATTAAAGGAGAAATATTTGTTTTTATTATCTTATTATTTGTTGTCTTGAGGGGTCTTTTGATATAATGCAACTTCTGATTGAATTAGGTTGGCGTAGAAACTTCAGCCGTAAGGTGGTCAAAGTCACATCTAACTGGCTCGTGGCCTATTTGGTATTTAATTTTAATCTTACAACATTGACACAAATACCAATCTTCACGAAACAGGATATTTAGCAGTGCTTCATAAAAACCAGACTGCTGTCTAGAACCTCAGGTGCAGTGAGTCCATTGTCAACATACCTCACAATCCATCACCCTAGCAGAGCCAGTGACCTTCCTACGACAAATTACATGGACAGCCTTTGAAACTGTCATCAGACATAATTAGGGATATATATATATATATATATATATATATATATATATATATACATTAAATGTTTTGTTAAAAGTTGCGATTATTGAAGAGATCAAATGAAATAACACTGGAGACAATTAAATGTAAAAATAAAATGGCAATGATGATATAAGATTACAGAAATTAACCTGGAGAAAGGGAAAGCTGAAGAAGCAAAAAAGGGGGGAAGCACACCAAACTAACAATAAGTTAAGGCCAAGGTAGAGACAGACTGTACATACTTCTTTTGCACACAAAGGTTAGGCTTCAGTCGATGGCTAGCCAAGGCCTCTTCTGTTTTTAGAAGTTCAACACGGAGGAAACGTGAGATTTTTGAGTGAATTCGAAAGAAAACCTTAAAATCATTGTTTGGGTCAGTTGAATAGTTGGAATCGATTAAATGTTTAAGGATAGAACTTCTGATGCATTTCCTTTTGCCGTCATAAAACCAGGCCAGAATATGTTTTCGTATACGTGTTGACAGCAGTCTCTAAATACGGTTGAAGTACCTGGCTCCACAGGAGCGGGTGAATTACTAGATACACATGAATATGGTTTATCAAGGGATAATGCCTTTTACGCAGATGGAGAACAATTTACGACTAGTATTCATCAAATGAAGTTTGACTGAGAAAAAGGTCTTTACAGATCAATTAGTAGGACTTTTTTAAAGACCAAAAGAAATGTGCATACATAAATAGTTACCATAGATGAACTCAAGCAAAATTTCTGAAGGTTTACAGGGCACAATCAATGAAAACCCAAGTTACGATAAAGGACCTTTCAAAAAGTAGGTTTTATGAGATTTACGAAGACACATGAAGTTGGCAGGCGATGAGAATTATGTCGATTATTAATTCTACTTTATGTATATGGTCTGTCTCATAATGAAAGCTTTCCATGCTAATTAATCATAAATAGTTGATCTTTTGCCATTAATTTTAAAGACTTAACTACACTTGTCTTACCAACATATTGTCGAGAAATGAAATTAAACCAACCGATGGTAGGGAAATTCTACTTTGAAATGCATTTTGAAAGATAAACGCAGTAATATCTTATCGTTCTTACTATTTGTGTTGTCCATCGGTCTGCATTGTCTTCCATAAATATTTATGTCTTGCTATTTGACTTCTGTTAACAATGTTGTTGAGATAAGAAGGGATTTTCTGCAATAGTTTCCATACTTCACTCTATTCTGCTTTCCTTAACTCAGCTTTTTACACCAACTGTTCTGTTTTAGCGTACTATATTTAAAGCAGTATAAAGGCACTTTTTCTTATGAATGCTACAATAACTGCAAATGCCCACCTAGT